ACACACATGCATGCATGTGCACCATCCTGTAAATGACCTTCAGCTTGCCATATGTCTGTGTGAATACTGTGAAAGCTATACTTTAAAACAAACTGTTGAGGTTTGAACTGTTGGATTAAATATTTGTATATTTCTGCTTTGGTACATTGTGAACCTCTGGTTACCTTTGCCTCTATATTTTAGCTGTCTAAACACTTTGAGGAGAAAAAGGATGTCTGGGAATCTTAAAGCATGAATTCAACAGCCACCCATGTCAGAACTCTTCTGCTCTTTTATGTAGTCCAACAGATGGCTGCCAACACATTCTCACTCCCTGCGTGTCAAAAACAAACGCTTGGTCAGCCACCCTCCACGACAGACCCCTGACGCCAAAAGTGCCCTTTGTGGTTACTTATGTGCGAAAAGGGGTTTTTCCCTTATTTGACTGCAGATCCCAATGCAGCGTTACACTGACGCGATGGGATGTCCGCAGCCAGGGCACCAAACAAGCTCATTGTACCTCACCTTAACCTTATCCTCTTATTTAACCTTCCCCTCACTCCTATCCTAACCTTAACCATCCTGCTAGCGAACACATTAGTGATGTGTCGATCGCTCTAAAAGCCGGCTCTATGAAGTGAACCGTGGGAGCCGCCTCGTCATTGGTCGAGTTTGGACCGACCCAGCGCGAGGGGGAGGTTTCAACTACCACGGTGGTGGTTAAAAGTAGAGGGTATGTGTAACCTCCCCCTCGCCAGATGGTATGTTCTAACGTTCCCCTTGGGCGGCAAATACGAAAATTGACAGTCAGACTCTGACTGTCAATTTTCAGAATGCAGGGGAAACAAACGCTTGATCACAGTGAGAGTAACATTTTAGGTAGCAAGAGGGTTAAGGTTAGGATGAGGGAGAGGGGAAGGTTATAAATAGTGAAACATTAAGGTTTAGGTGCGGTTAAATGAGCAGGTTCGGTGCCGCATCAGCAGATATCTCATCACGTCAGTTTTACGCTGCATTGGGATCTGCAGTTACAAAAGGGAAAAACCCCTTTTCACACATAAGTAACGAAAAAGGGCACTATTGGCGTCTGGGGTCTGACGTGGAGGGTGGCTGACCAAGCATTTGTTTCCGACGCTTAGGGTGTGAGAATGTGTTGCTGCTCAAAGAAAGAGTGCTGTCATTTTCAGGAACATGACTCTACATGCTCTACTCAAAGCCATCATTTCTAAGTGCATACAATTTCTACACCATCTACACATACAAACCACTTAAATCAAAAGAAAAACATTCACATAATAACTATCTGTTCTGAAAGTTTGCATTAAAATGAAGCCGGAAAAAAGCAGACCACCAAGGGAAAAGAAACTGTCGAACGAGAGACAAAATAAGGAGGTTGCAGAGCAATGTTGTTCAGGGACTAACTGAATCAAAATGATTTATTGCATCACTAATAACATTATTGTTTGCTGTGTTTTCAAGTCTTCTGGTCTTTTTTAGTGATGGGATTTATGGCTCTTTCATGGGAGCCGTTTGTTAGTCGGTCATTTACCTCAAAGACCGTTCAAAAGACTGGCTCCTTTGAACGACGAGAGCGGGGGGAGCAACGTCTTCCTGCGGTGTCCGTGAGGGCGCACGGGGTTGGTTAGCATCCCTCCCATAGATATGTATATAAACACGTGTTTATATACATATCTATGGTTCCTCCTACGTCCGTCACTGCAGTGGGTGGGGTTTGAGCGGGTGAGTTTGACCGACTTCCGGGGAGGTTTGTTAAGATGTACGGCTCTCTACAGGGACTCGGCTCTCATCATTCACTTGAAAACCTGTTCAAAAGATTCGAGTCATTCGTGAACGTCACATCACTAGTCTTTTTAGCTTTTCATTTCAAAGGAGCACACTGCTTTGATTGCAGGTGTCTGAAATGAAGGGCATTTGGTGTTTTTTATTAAAAGTGCTGAGAATATCATTGAATCTCTGACAGTGATTGATAGATTATGCAGCGTAGCTCTCATATTACCTTTGTTTGTGTCCTAAAGAAAGATGAGATGACTTTGATGATCATTCCACAACCTCAGTGTGACGACGCACCGTGATCTCAACAGTATGCCTTCTGTCTGCACTTTAAGGCTGAGGCAACATGCCTGAAAGGCTGTTACAGTCTGTTGTATTCACAGTATCTGCACTGCCCATGAGACATCTCTTTATTAACCAGTGTAGTGTCCTTTCAATAGACACATTTCAGATTTTACTATGTGAAAAATGTGTGTATCTGTATATTCAAGCCAGTGAGTTTAGACACACTGGTGGACTTTTAAAACTTCTTTTGGCCAATTCTCATAGAATAAGAATTGAAACATAAAAAGCATTTGTTTCCACTCATGGCCAGTGCTGTTGTGAAGCCATTCATTGTGATTGTTAACTAATTAGAAATGACCATACCAAAAAAAAAAAAAAATAAATAAAGACCCTGTTGAAAGGTTTAAACACCCCAGTTCCTAATATTGTGCATTACCTCCTTTAGCATCAGTGACAGCTTGGAGTCTTTTGTGGTCGCTGTGGTGAAGGTTCTGTTTGTAATCTAATGGTAAAGACCATTCTTTGTGGCAAAAAGCCTCCAGTTTCTACTAAATCCATGGGCTGTCTGTCATGGACAGCATGCTTGAGCTCACCCCAGAATGGTTCAGTGACACTGAGGTCGGACGGAGATGTCCACTCCAAAACCTTCCCTTTATCCTGCTGAAGCCAATGGCAGGTCCACTTGGCCTTGTGTTTTGGATCATTGTCTTGTTGGAGCATCAAAGTGTGACCATGCACAGCTTTTGGGCTGATGAGTGCTATGACTGGGTTGCAGTTGTTGGTGACAAATTTCTAGTGGATTTTGCAACGGAGTCTCAAAATGTCTCAAATGACTCCATCATTAAGTGAGTCAAGTTTTTGTTTTGTTTCATTTGCCATTTGTAGATGAGAATGCTAAAAAATCCTTGTTGACAATCAGTCAGTCTCAAGTGAAAATGATATAAAAATATACACTGCACCTTAAACTAGGATTCTGTGCTCAGAAACTTGTTCTGTCTCCTTAGAGTCGGGATGTAGGAGTTAAGTTTGTGGACACCAAAAAGGGACATTTGTGGACATTCTGGAATTCAAGGCAGCGCATGTTGGATTATTTGTGTATTAACTGACCTGGATCACTTAGCTCCATGATTCTGTCTGACCATTTAGAAGCTAGTTAGAACTTGCTGGAATTCAGTATAATGAAAAGCAACAGCAGAGCTACTGCTAGCGCATACTGCTATTGGCCCTGGTAGTCTTCCCATGAAGTCTCTTGGCTTTCTCTTGTACTCTATCTGTCTCCAATCATGCAGTCACGTCACAAACATCTCATACATGCATGCATCACTTTTACGATATTTAGTTCTTCTCTGTATGATTTGATTGACACCTCTCACTCTGAAGTTGAATGTCGCTGGTTTCGAGAACCCCTACAATGTTTACTGTCTTGCTGTTACCTGACTCCAACATTTGGTTGCAGAAGATTGACCTCACAAAGTCTAAGTTCTGCCGTCAAACTCCTCCTTCTCCTTTCACTCACCAGCTATTTTTGCTTTAAGAAAATTAGGATTATATCTATTTTTCAGTCAGTCATCACTGCGTCGCCTACAGGTTGTGCAGAACAGTGCAGCCAGGTTCCTGAAAGGGACCAGGAAACGGGACCACATCAGTCCAGTTCTGGACTCCCTGCACTGGCTTCCGGTTTGCTATCGTTCACACTTAAGACTCCTCGTCTTTGTTTATCATTTCTTCCAGGGTGGTGCTCCCCCCTATCTGGCCACTCTCCTGAACAAACATTCCCCATCACGCGCTCTGCGCTCCTCTGACCAAGGCCTGCTCGCTGTCCCTCGTTCTAGGTGTCGTACTCGCGGGGACCGGGCTTTCTCAGTCCTATCACCGTCACTCTGGAACCAGTTGCCACCCTCAGTTAGGCTGTCCCCATCTCTGCCAGTCTTTAAGAGTTGCCTAAAAACCCAACTCCTCCGCTTGCCGCTCCCTGAACGTCTTTTATGTTAATTTTATTTCCCTGTTTTCACTGGTCTCTTTATCCAATATTTTACCCATTTGTCTTCTACTAGAATATTTTGCCTTTTTGTTTTGTAATATTGGAATTGCTTTTATTTTCGATTTATTCATCATATTTAACTTTTCTCATGTACCATGTTCAACGCCTTGGGCTTCCCGACAGGATCGCGGAAGGCGCTTTATAAATAAAGCTTTGATTGATTTATTGATTGATTTTTTGTTTTCTTGGTAAAAGGGCATGAATGAAAAAAGGAAATAAATGTCATTATGCAGTAGCTCTTTTCTCAGTATGCTACAGAGACACTGAAAGTGCAGACAAAACATTACAGAGGACAACAACGATATCTGAGAATTTTAGTGAATTAAAAAATGGTAGGCTTTTGGTTCCAGTGTAACTAATGTATTCTGGGGTTCCAGTGCTGGCTTGGAAGAACAGCTGGATCCAGATCCAGACAAACCTGGCATAAGAGTGAGCTGAATAACTAATTTTGATGTGAGCAGGAGATGCGTACCTGAGACGGAGCCATGGAGGCTGCAGGGGAAACTGAAAACAGGATTAGCATAAAAGAGAGCAACAAACAATGCATAAAAGCCATGATGACTACAATGGAAGGAGAAGCGTCACAGCTCTGAGTGGAAGTAAAGCGACTGATCTGACAAAAGTAGGCAGTGGTTTGTGTTTGCTGAGGGCTTGATTGTGTTTTTGAAAATAAAGATGCTGAATGTTATCAATTCCTCCTGATTGCAGCATTTATAACAAAGCTCACATTTTTATTTTTACAACATTTTTTCTCCTGCATAAAACCTGCAAATAGGAAGAGGATTACAACATAGTTTACTTTTTAATTTATTTAGATAGTCAGATTTGGCACTGAACAAATTGTCATGGTCTGAGGTAATGATTTAACCCAAGACATGCAGAATCAACACACTGGAGCAGGATGTGAAAAAATAAAGATTTATTTGGTAACTAGAACTTAGGGTGCACTGGAAATCCAGTGAATGGGTAAACGGGAGCAGCGTCTGAGGGAAGGGAAACAGAGGTGAGTCCTTGATTGAAACTGTAGTGTGGTAGAGGATGAGTTTGGTAGGAGGACTTACAGCTGTAGCGTGGTGGAGGATCTCCAGGGAGGGGTGAGCTGGGAGAGTGAATGAGTATTCTGGGGTGATGAAGATCGGCAAGGTTTTACAACCGGAGGGAAGGAGAGAGAGAGAGCCTGTAGTGCTGGGAGCAGTTAGTGCCGTGAGGAGGACGGGAACCGGGAGTGAAGTCCAGACGTAGTATGGTCGAGTAGTAAATCCAAAAGGTCTCAGCGAGGGGGTGGTGTATGGAAAGATGACTGAGCCTGAGACAAAACGAGAACAAAATCTGAGCAAAAGATCGCTAGCAAAAAACACGTTTCTAAAGTTCAAGGCTAAGGTTTCAAAGTTCAAAGTCTAAGTTCCGACAGTTCAAAGTCAAGGTTTCAAAATCGAGTTAACACTGTGGCTGGGACTCTACCAGTAGGCGTAATCATCCGGCGGCTTAGCAGTGTCCTCCGTCCTCCTTATGAAGGCCACCCACTGATCAGCTGATTGATTGCAGCTGCTGCTCTCTCTCCTGAAAACAGAACTCACAAGCCAGGTGATGTCATGGTGTGTGTGGAGTGCTCACCTCCCAGCTCACAACAGTACCCCCCCCCCCCCCCAACGGACGCCTCCAGGCGTCCTAGCCGCAGCAGCCTCATAATCCCGAATGAGGGAAGGATCCAGGATGGCAGAGCGTGGCACCCAGGAGCGTTCCTCGGGACCGTAGCCCTCCCAGTCCACAAGGTACTGCATACCCCGACCGCGGGGACGGGAGTCCAGGATCCTGCGAACAGTGTAGATCAAGTCCCCCTGGTGCAGGCGAGCCGGAGGAGGAGGTGCAGGCACGGGACAGAGAGGACTGGTGACCACAGGCTTGACCAGGGAGACGTGGAACACCGGGTGCACACGTAGGGTCCGAGGGAGATCCAGGCGGACCGTAGTGGGGGACGGAACAGCCAAAACTTTAAAGGGACCAATGAACCGGGGAGATAACTTACGGGAAGAGGCCTTCAGTGGAATGTTCCTGGACGATAACCACACAGACTGCCCTGGGACGTAGACTGGGGCCGGACGCCGTCGGCGATCAGCTACCTGCTTGTTCCTCTGTGCAGTACGATCCAGCGCCGCCCTGGTGGTGGTCCAGGCACGACGGGCACAACGGAGGAATTGGGGAACGGAGGAGCCAGGCGTAGATTGTGCGGGGAAAAGCGAGGGTTGAAAACCGAGGGAAGCCTCAAACGGGGACTGACCTGTAGCCGTAGAGATGTGGCTGTTATGGGCATACTCCACCCAGGGAAGATGGGTGCTCCAGGACGACGGGTGAATGGAGCAGACACAGCGCAGCATGGCCCCCAGCTCCTGGTTCATCCGTTCGCATTGGCCGTTGGTTTGGGGGTGGTGTCCAGAGGTAAGCGCCACTTTAGCCCCCAAGGCCTCTGCGAACTCCTTCCATACTTGGGACACGAACTGCGGACCCCGATCCGACAGGATCTCCTCCGGGATGCCATGGAGACGGAACACATGCTTAACCAGGAGCTGCGCTGTGCCTGCGGATGAAGGGAGAGATTTAAGGGGCACCAGGTGGCAAGCCTTTGAAAACCGGTCGACTATGGTAAGAATGGAGGTGAAACCGTGGGAGATGGGGAGACCACAGACGAAGTCCAGGGCGATGTGCGACCAAGGCCGTGAGGGAGTAGGCAGAGGCTGGAGTAGACCGGCTGGGAGGCGATGGTCCCCCTTGTGTTGGGAACAGGTGTGACAACCAGAAACATAGTCCTTGGTATCTTTAAAAATGGACGGCCACCAAAATGTACGTTTAATAAGGGCCACAGTGCGTGCCACCCCCGGATGTAAGGAGAACCGACCAGCATGAGCCCAGTGAATGACCTTGCCTCTAACAGATTGGGGAACAAACAGTTTACCCGGGGGGCCGTTGTCTGGACCAGGGTCAGTCTTAAGGGCCTCCAGTACCTGCTCCCGGATCTCCCAGGTGACGCTCCCTAACACACAGTTGGAGGGAAGGATGGTCGATGGTGGGTTATCCCGGTCTGGAGCATATTGTCTAGAGAGTGCGTCGGGTTTGGTATTCTTTGTACCGGGTCTGTAAGAGATCAGGAAATTAAACCGAGAAAAGAAAAGAGACCATCTGTACTGGCGTGGGTTTAAACGTTTGGCTTCCTTGAGGTAGATGAGGTTCTTATGGTCAGTCCAGATGATGAATGGTTGTTCAGCCCCCTCCAACCAATGTCTCCATTCCTCAATGGCCAGTTTCACAGCCAACAGCTCTCTGTCCCCTACGTCGTAACGGCTCTCGGTAGGTGTGAGGCGTCGTGAGAAGAACGCACAGGGATGCAGGCGTTTGTCCTCTTCAGCCACCTGGGAGAGCACAGCCCCCACACCAGTGTCCGAGGCATCCACCTCCAGTGTAAACTGACGTTGAGGGTCAGGCCGGTGTAGGATGGGTGCGTCGGCAAATCTCTTCTTCAGAACCTGAAAAGCGGATTCAGCTTCTGGGGACCAAACAAAGCTCTGTTAATCGAGGTCAGCTGGGTCAGGGGTGCGGCGATTTGACTGAAGTTACGAATGAACCTCCGATAAAAATTAGCGAACCCCAGAAACCTCTGAAGCTGCTTTCTAGTCGTCGGAGTCGGCCACTCGGCCACCGCCTGCACCTTTTCAGGATCCGCCCTCAACCTACCACCCTCAATGACAAACCCCAAAAACTTAACGGTTGGGACGTGAAATTCGCACTTCTCTGCTTTTACGTATAGTCTGTTTTCGAGAAGGCGCTGGAGAACTGCTCTCACATGCCGGACGTGTTGCTCCGGGGTCTTAGAAAAAATCAGAATGTCATCCAAGTAAACTGTGACAAAGCGGTTAAGGAAATCACCCAGCACGGAGTTAACCAGGGATTGGAAGACTGCAGGGGCGTTAGTAAGGCCGAAGGGCATCATCAGATACTCGAAGTGACCCACTGGCGTTTTAAACGCCGTCTTCCATTCATCCCCCTCCTTCACCCGAACCAGGTGGTAAGCGTTCCGGAGGTCTAGTCGGGTGAAGATGGTGGAGTCCTGTACTGGTTCGAACATGGATGAAAGTAGAGGCAGAGGATACTTGTTTTTAACCGTGATTTGGTTCAAACCTCTATAGTCAATGCAGGGCCTGAGGGAACCGTCCTTCTTAGGCACGAAAAAGAAGCCGGCACCCAGAGGGGAGGATGACGGTCGAATAGTGCCGGCTGCAAGACAGTCCTGGATGTACTCCTCCATGCTCTCTCTCTCCGGTTTGGACAGTTGGTACAAACGGCTGGAAGGCAGAGGGGCTCCGGGTAATAGATCTATAGCACAGTCAAACGGTCTGTGTGGGGGTAATGAAGAAGCACGGTCTTTACTAAAAACAAGTTTCAGATCATGGTAAACTTGTGGTACCGTAGCCAGATCGATGTTCTCTGCAGGGGGATTGACAGGTCCACGGCTAGGCAGAGCTGCGGAGCGCAGACACAACTGCGAGCACTCTGGGCCCCATCCAATGATCTTGTTCTCCCTCCAGTCGAGAAAGGGGTTGTGGCGGACAAGCCATGAATGTCCTAGCACCAGTGGAGACTGAGGGGAAGGGAACACATAAAAAGTGAGAGTCTCCACATGGTTACCTGAAACCTGAAGGCGGAGAGGAACCGTCTGGAGAGTTATGGATGAGAGATTGCGGTTATCCAGGGAAGAGACAGAGCGAGGCGTAGAGAGCTTCGTTGTGGGAATTCCCCATTCAGTCACCAGTCGAGGGTCCAATAACGATTGCTCACACCCAGAATCCACTAGGGCTTCAAGAGGAATCTGCTTAGATTGATAAAACAAAGTGCATGGCAAAGAACACCGGGTCACAGAAGAAATCAGGTTACCGCCCACCAATAGACCCGGTCTTACCGGTGGGCGTGCCCTTTTACCAGAGAGGGACAGTTGTTCACGACATGCCCCGCTATTCCACAATATAAACAGAGTCCCATCTTGCGTCGGTGCTCTTTTTCTTCCTGAGTGAGTTTGGCTCTGCCCATTTGCATGGGTTCGTCCTTGGGTAGGAGTTCGGGTGTGGAACGCCCCCTGGCCCCGGAGGAATGTTCTGGAACAGGAAGAGGGGTCACCAACTCCACTCTTCTCATCTCGCGGTGACGCTTGTCTATTGACATGGCCAGCCTGATTAATTCAGCCAACGATTTGGGTTCGGGGCAAAGAGCCAGCTGGTTCCTGATCCTGTCATTCAGGGCCTCAGTGAACACCCCCATAAGGGCATCCTCATCCCAAGTCGTGCGTGCTGCTAAGATTCGAAAATCCACAGCCAGGTCTGCCACAGAACGTCTGCCTTGGGAGAGATTTATTAGTTTCCTCCTGATGTCAGAAACAGATTCCACACTGCCAAACGTCTGGGTGAATTCTGTCACAAAGTCATTAAAGAGTCCATGTAAAAACGAATCATTGTGGCTCTTGGCCTCAGCCCATCTTAAGGCTCTGCCCCGTAAAAGTCCAACAACATAGGAGATCTTGGCTGAATCAGATCTAAAAGCAGCAGGGCTACGTTCAAATGCCAATCTGCATTGAAGCAGGAAACTGTGACACTCCTCAAACTCACCTCCGAAGGTGGTTGTCGCCGGTGACGGGGCAACGCGGAAATGAGTCTCCTCTGAGGAGCTTGTAGCTTCAGCTCCATGAATGCTTGTAGCAGTGGTTGGATTTAACTGTGAATCCGAGGAGGATGTGGAGGGACGAGTCGTAGAAATGGATTCATGTAGTTGCCGAACTATTGTCTCCAACTGCTGGCAGCGTTGGTTGGATTGGGTTAACTGCTCCATGAGTTTCGGGAGGATTTGTTCCTGCTGGGCTAATCTGTGAGAAAGAGAGGTGAGTATTGATTCTGCTGGGTTAACGTCTTGGCCGGATGATTCTGTCATGGTCTGAGGTAATGATTTAACCCAAGACATGCAGAATCAACACACTGGAGCAGGATGTGAAAAAATAAAGATTTATTTGGTAACTAGAACTTAGGGTGCACTGGAAATCCAGTGAATGGGTAAACGGGAGCAGCGTCTGAGGGAAGGGAAACAGAGGTGAGTCCTTGATTGAAACTGTAGTGTGGTAGAGGATGAGTTTGGTAGGAGGACTTACAGCTGTAGCGTGGTGGAGGATCTCCAGGGAGGGGTGAGCTGGGAGAGTGAATGAGTATTCCGGGGTGATGAAGATCGGCAAGGTTTTACAACCGGAGGGAAGGAGAGAGAGAGCCTGTAGTGCTGGGAGCAGTTAGTGCCGTGAGGAGGACGGGAACCGGGAGTGAAGTCCAGACGTAGTATGGTCGAGTAGTAAATCCAAAAGGTCTCAGCGAGGGGGTGGTGTATGGAAAGATGACTGAGCCTGAGACAAAACGAGAACAAAATCTGAGCAAAAGATCGCTAGCAAAAAACACGTTTCTAAAGTTCAAGGCTAAGGTTTCAAAGTTCAAAGTCTAAGTTCCGACAGTTCAAAGTCAAGGTTTCAAAATCGAGTTAACACTGTGGCTGGGACTCTACCAGTAGGCGTAATCATCCGGCGGCTTAGCAGTGTCCTCCGTCCTCCTTGTGAAGGCCACCCACTGATCAGCTGATTGATTGCAGCTGCTGCTCTCTCTCCTGAAAACAGAACTCACAAGCCAGGTGATGTCATGGTGTGTGTGGAGTGCTCACCTCCCAGCTCACAACACAAATATGTTGTTAATGATAATAAAACATCTGAAATAGGGATGCTCCGATCAGGTTTTTTGCTGCCGATCACCAATACCGATCACCAATACCAATCACATTGATTGGCCATAAAATTTCCATGAAGTTATAATTAGTGCTACAGGCTACAGATCTGGGAACAATAACATCACCTTAAATGGCCTGTATTAATTTAGACAAAAAACGTATATATGTTTTTAAAGAAAAAAAATTGCAGCACAATTAGTGAGTTTGTTTTTGACCACAACTTCTAAGCCTCCTGCTCAGAACCCAAGGTTTAGAGTTGAAAATGTCTCTTGGATGAAAGACAAAACGTCTTCAAATTAACCAGAAAAGTCCAACTGCTTTCAATTAAATCTCTTCAGTTGATCATGTCCAAGATGACTGAGAATCTACACCTACATGCTGAAGCATCACAATAATTCAGTCAAAAGGAAAACTAAAAAACGTATGAAGCTGCTTTCAGTAACAATCCAACAGATTTAAAACGTTAAAAGCTCTTAACACTCTTAATACTGCAGGAAAGCAAAAAAAAAAAAATCAAATTTAATTTAATTAAAAAACCTCACAACTTTGTGTGTTGTGAGATTTACTATCATTAACATTATTATTATTAATGTTATTTTTATTGTGACAGTTTTAAGAGGTATTGATACGAGAGTAATGCTTAATGTTAGTTTTATTTTGAAGGGCAGTATGATGAGTGGAAAGGGTTGTTTCTGGTTCCGGTGTCTGTACCAGATCTGCTCGGGTGCCATATCGGCTCAGGGTTCTGTGCCTGGGATCTGCTTTAGCCACTCCTCCAGTCTGGGGCTACTGCCCCGATGACCACGGGCACCACAGATGTCTTTACTCTCCAGGATTTCTCAAGCTCTTCTTTGAGGCTCTGGTACTTCTCTAGGTTTTCCTGTTAGGGTTAGTATTAGGCTTTTTCCTGATGTTGCCATCACTTGGTATTGCTACATCAACCACAGCAGCTATCCTATGTTGTTTGTCCACCACCGCAATGTCCGTTTGGTTCGCCATCATCATTTTGTCAGTCTGGATCTGGAAGTCCCACAGGAGCTTGGCTCTCTTGTTCTTAACCACCTTAGGGGGTGTTACCCACTTTGAGCTTGGGGCCACCAGTCTCTGCACAGATGTTCCTGTACACGATGCCAGCCACTTGGTTGTGGGGTTTCATGTATGCTTTCCCTGCCAGCATCTTACACCCTGCAGTTATGTGGTGGATTGTCTCAGGGACCTCTTTGCCTAGCCTACACCTTGGGTCTTGTCTGGTGTTGTAGATCTTGCCTGAATTCTTCACTAAAACTACTGTGCGGCCTCTTTCTTCCGGCTCTTGGAGAGTACAGACGCTTTTTTCTCTTCTCCCTCCCTCCTCATCCCAAGGCTCATTGTCCTGTCTTGTGTGCATGGCGCTTTCTGCATTTTTTTCTGGAAACTTGAAATGATTAAAAATGGATCTGGTCAGTTGGTCTCTCAAAGCGACTGACAAAATTTTTTCAGCAATGAGAACGGGAGAATGGGCTCCCGGATGCCCCTCTGGGACAGAGCCAGCTGGGTATATCATGGACTCCTGGAAACAGTGGAACCTGATATGCCTCTCTCAACTGTCTGTAGAGGATTCTGAAGATGTTTGGATATTCGTCGTTTTGGTGTCGGGATTCCTGCTATTTGGCCTGAGCGGTTACCTGGCTTACCGGAAAATTAACGAGCTTTCGAGGAATATTGGCTCAATCCCAGAGCTCAGGGATGGAATGCAATGCGCTGTGAACGCACAAACTCATATAATTGTCGAGATGAGTTGTAAGCTTGGAACTTTGGCTCAATCAATCAATCAAAGCTTTATTTATAAAGCGCCTTCCGCAACCCTATCGGGAAGCCCAAGGCACTGAAGATTGAGGCTGAGATTCAGGCTCTGGCACAGAAGGTTGATTCCATCAAGGAGCGAGTGGATGGATCAGCACGGATTGGGATAGATTAATTACACCATTATTGGGTCTAGAGGGGTTGAAGACCAACAGAACTGTAAGGCAGAGAGGAAATTATCTCTGTCTGTCCCCAAAAAAATTCTTATCTGAATCTGGTGCCCTTGCGCCTGTGAGGCTGAAGTGTAAACTCCCCCTTCAGAAGAAATGTGGAATGCTGCCGTCGCTATGGAAACTCTTTCCCCCTATCCCAGCCTGGGAGGGACTGTGACCGGTGAAGGCCGTGGAACCGTATCTAGGAGTCAATGTGCGCTCTAACCCATTACAGTATCTCCCTCCCCTGTCCAAATGGAGGTGATGAGCGCTGCTCCATGCGGCTGCAGGCACTGAAGTGAGGAAGTCCCAACCCTACCTCCCCACCTAGTGGACACTTATGTTATGCAATGTCTGAAGTCTGTGTGCATATCTGTCTGAGGTGTTTTTTTGCATAGCAAAGCTACCCTCTCTGTGGAGGGTAACTTTCAAGTGCCTTTTTTATTCCCTCCCCCTGACTCTATCCTCATGTAAACCCTCTTGATCTATTACCGTGGCACGACTCGGGTTGCGAATGACTACAGTCACCAATTCTTGTCATGTGTCCATGTATGTATGTCTGATCTCAGAATTGTGTGTACTGAAACTCTAATTTCCCTCTGGAATTAACAAAGTATTTTTGAATGGAATTTAATTGAATTATCTTCACATTTGTCAAAAATGCTTGTATCAAGAAACATCGTCCAGCAAAATTAAACTCATTAATGCAAAGAGTACATTTGCTTGTGGTTTCTGAGCTTTTGACATATCTTAAGAACAATAATAATTGCACACATGAATGAATGAGGGGGTTTATTCGTGTGTTAGCTTCATGAGGAATGCATATCTAATTAAAAAGTCAGCAAACCTCCAAGCAGTAGAAACTGGCACATGGCTTGTTGTTTTCCCTCATCTAATCTCTCTGTAAGACCAGATAATTAATGGTGCTGTGACAGGGGAGCCTGCAGCCATTAATGGAATGGATTGAGCTTGTTTACCCAACCTACTCCTTGTCCTGTACTTTCCTAATGAGGATGTGGGCAAGGGCAGGCCATCACCATGGTTATCAGACATTTGGGACAGTGGCATCAGTCAGGAGTTCCTTGTAGACAAATGAAAGGCTCTAGAGAAGGACAATGATCACAACCAGAGGGGCAGAGGCTGGTGTGTAATGACAGAACAATTGTTGATAACGGCTGCTATTGCCAGAGAAGTTAAACAACATGTACCTGTTTTATTCTATTTTTATTTCTATTTAAAAGGAAATTAAATATGTTATATTGGTGATTTTTGACAAGTACTTAATATTTTGTGAGTGTCAAATAGGGCTGCAACAACGAATCGATAAATTCGATGAAAATCGATTACTAAAAGCGTTGGCAACGAATTGCGTCATCGATTCGTTGTGTTGCACAACTCTTCCAAAAGCCCCCTCCCCTCCCGCCCGCCGTTGCGCACAGACCGAAGAGCCGGCAGGTGTTTGGAAGAGGAACATGGCAGAAGCAGCAAGACCCAAAAAAAGTAAAAACTTCTAAAGTTTGGGAGCATTTTCAGTTAAATCAGGCGAAGACATTAGTTACCTGCAACGTTTGTAGGTCGGACTTAGCATGGCACGGGAGTACTACAGTGATGATGCAGCATCTTAAACGCAAGCATGTCAGAATCATCAGCGAGGAAGGAGAGAGCTCGGTGTCTGGGTAAGTTAAAAACTTTTCAAAAGCGATTCACCCAAGCCCCGGATTATTACACAGGCTAGACATGCCCTAAGCTCGTAAAAAAAAAAGACTATAAAATTGTAAGCGCAACACTATTAGATAGGCGGGGGGTGGGGTGGGGGTGGGGGGGCTCGCGCTGCTGCGAACCGGTTCCGCCGTCACATTCTCGCAGAAACTGGTTGATCACACCGGGGCCAGACTACTAGCATGTGGTTTTACAACCACAATGTCCTCAGAAGCGAAAATGCTTTTAAAAGGGAGGGAGGCGTCCTAACTGTTTCTGCAGGTGTGTTGTGTGAGAGTGCAGTTATATACTGGTTAATATATTTTTGGGTTCAGTTGCTTTCATGTGGCCTAATTTGAGTCTATTTGGGATCATTGGAATGATCAGCAGCATTTCTTGATGTGACTTTATGGCAGTTGCCCAGGGCATCATCGCAAGGAGGATGGCATTCATTTACTTTTGTTTTATTTGGTTTTTTTT